TATAAATACACACACACACACACGCACACACACACACACACATATATATAAATAGAACTTAATTTACCTCCTTGATCCATAAAGCGATTCAGACTGGCGCGGATGTCAGTCTTCTTGCCGCCGTCCATGACTAGACACGATACGCGCGTTGGCCCCAGCCATTTCTTAAATTCGTTCGCCCAGTTCTATAAATAGAATCGAAACCGCATACACGATGATTGAGTGAAATCAATTGGCCTATACAATGTCATATATACGGAATTGAGCCACGCGATTGGTAGAATCAGCTGCGCTTGTAGAACCTCAAACACCACTCGAGTGAGTAGATAGCCGTGTTCTGACTAAATTGGTGTCACATACACGCCACCCATTGACACCATACATCCATTCTCCAGTGGAGAAAAGTACGCAAAACACCACAGATAATACAGTTGCACGCATCACAGCACAAGACCAATCCGCATGGCGAGATAATCCGGCAGTATTCATAGTAACAACAACCGTGACTCAACACTAAACCCCTAAAACCCTTACCTCTTAAACCCTAACCCTTAAAACCCTAACCTCTGAATCGGTCCTCTAATTCCGTACACGCCCTAGATGAGAACATATAAGGTTGTACACATAGTTCTAAATGTCAATATACGGGACTGGTGTACAAATCTGTTCTGTCATTTGTGTGCGCTTACATTTTTCCGCTTCACACCGATCCGCAGTTTAGCCGCATGAACACTGAAGGTATAACGTTCAGGGGGTTTAGGGTGTAGAAAGTGCCACTGAACTCAGGTGGCCACATATTTCATTTCACTTGAACTTACATACTATGCCCCAACCTCTTAGCTTGTTTATACGTGGCATTACTATATCTGTATCACAATAATAAAGATGCTAAAACGGTAGGTTGCCGAGGCAGTCACATCTTTCATTCCATTTGAACTTACTTACTATACCTACCTACTATGCCCCATCCTCTTAGCTTGAATATACGTGACACTACTACATCTGTATCACACAGCCAAGATGCTAAAACGGTAGGTTGCAGAGGTAGTCACATCTTTCATTCCATTTAAACTTACCTACTATACCCACCTACGATACCCCATCCTCTTAGCTTGATTATACGTGGCACTACTACATCTGTATCACATAACCAAGATGCTAAAATGGCAGGCTGTACAGGTGTGGTACGGTACGCTATACAGGCGTGGCTACCATTATACGATAGCAATTAAAGCTGTAACCTAGATAAGTGCCCACAAATCATATCTCACGGACATGTATATATACTTAGAGAAAATAAATGCAACGCGAACACAGCCTCACTTGGACCTAACCAGAGAGGGCAAAGATAGTGCAATCATATTTGTATTCTATATATATATATATATATATATATTTATATATATATATATATATATATATATATTTATATATATATATATATATATATATATATAGATGACATCTCATGTACTATATAAATATATAATCAGACATAGCAAGTGTTCGCAAACTCAGCCGTACCTGGACCAGACTGGAGGGCGCTACGATGATACCCTTGTTGATCAGTCGCTTGGCTGTAGCAGATACAGGCCGACATGGAGTAGAGCGCAGAAGACGTACATGGTTGAATGTTGAAGTTGGTTAAAAAAATAAAAATAGGATTACGAACATAAAACAAACTATTAGTGGTAAAGAGAATGTGTGATGTTGAGGTGATGCAAGAAAGGGGCAATCGAATTGCGAACACAGAATAGCCCAAATGTAACAAAAAAAAAGGGCAACTTTGCAATGATGTAAGAAACGGGAACCCAATTGCGAACATAGAATAGACTATTTGTAACAATGGGAAAATGAGAAAGTACGATGCTGAAATTATGCAAGAAACGGAAATCGGACGGCAATCATAGAATTAAATACGAGCAACAAAGAAAATGTATGATGTGAAGGATATGCAGGAAAGGGAAACCGGAGTGAGGAAATATATGCATCTAAGTAAATGAATAATATTTGGGACCCTGCAAGAAAAGGAAATTGGATTGCGAATAACGGAAAATAAAAATATGAGGAACAACGAAAGAACGGAGAGTCGCAGGACAAGATAATACAATACTTGAATTGTAGGATAGCAAAAGACAGCGAGTGAACGCTGAGATGATGGAGATCTATGAGTGTTTCAGGGTTATGCACGCCTGTAGGAGAGTCTGTATGTATCCTAGTCTATACAGAAGTAAACTAGTATGTGTGTCAGAAAGAGAGTCTGTATGATAGAAGTATACGAGTATGTGTCAGTAAGAGAGTCTATACGATAGAAGTATACGAGTATGTGTGTCAGTAAGAGAGTCTGTATGATAGAAGTAAACGAGTATGTGTGTCAGTAAGAGAGTCTGTATGATAGAAGTAAACGAGTATGTGTGTCAGTAAGAGAGTCTGTACGATAGAAGTATACGAGTATGTGTGTCAGTAAGAGAGTCTGTATGATAGAAGTATACGAATATGTGTGTCAGTAAGAGAGTCTGTACGATAGAAGTATACGAGTATGTGTGTCAGTCAAGTGACTTACCATATGGTCCCTGTTTGAGGAGCGTCCAGACCAATGTGACACACTGGAGTGTCTTCCCGAGTCCCTGAAAAGGAGGCAATTGGACATTAAACAATTGTCTAGCACGTTGAATGGGATATAAGGACGATTAAATATAAACACAATTAAAGTAGAGTCATTCAACAAAAGAATGACGTATCGCCATGTTTCATGGGATATACGGACGATTAAAGCAGGGTTATGCGGCAAAAGAGAAGTGTGGTTGGCAAGTTTAATAGGATATAAGGACGATTTAGGTACGGTTGATCAACCAAAGAAATAAGATTTTGGCATGTGTGATGGGATATAAAAATGAACATAGCAGGTTCATTCAACAAAAGAATGACGTATCGCCAAGTTTAATGGGATATACGGACGATTAAAGAAGGCTTATTCAGGAACAGAAAGAAGGGTTTAGCATATTTAAAGGACCATTAAAGTAAGGTTGTTCAGTGAATGAAAGATTGCTTGGAATATCTCAAAAGTCCTGAGGATTTGTGATTCACGGGTGTAATGTTCGACTGAAACCCTTCGGGCAGTTAAAGTGCGATTGGGGCCTGAAGCGGCATAGCAGTAGCCCAGAGTCAGAACAAGTAAATTTCATGATCTGCAATGTTGTTTGAACTACAAACAACACACACAGTGGTCAGATACAGAGGAAAGCATATACCCAAGTGTTTACATCAACATACCATATCATCGGCCATGATGCATCCTTCGCCATTCTCCAGCTTAACACCCGTCAGACAGTCGTACATAAACTGCACACCCTCGCGCTGATGTGGGCGCAGTACTTTGGACAGGCAAGGATCCACCACCACTGTATAAAAGAATATGAAAACATGCCGACGTCAGTATCTATTCCTAGTTTTATATAT